ATCCTCAAAGGGGTGCGATACCATCTAGAGGCTATTTTGTAGCTGTTTTCCTGGGTCGAGACATTGAGGGAGCATTTATGAGAGTACTTAAAGATTAAATCCCAGTCGGAGTCTGATAGGTTAGTGTCTAAATCTCTATTCCAGGCCCGACAAGAGCGAAAGAGAGTTTGTATGTCCTGTTTTCCAGTAAGAAGGGGTAGATCTCTGAAATCAAATGTTTACATGGTTCTGCTTTAGCGCAAATAGACTCGAACGGGGTAAGAGGGCAGTGGGGGCCAGTTCTGAGTGGGTTTATGTGAAAGCAGGTAGTGTCTAATTTGGAGGTATGCCCAAAAAGGGAATTCGCGGATATCCAGACTCGTAAGTAATTCTTGAAGTGTTATCAACTTGCCATTGTGGATGAAGTGTTTCGCCAAGATCTGTTTATATGGCCAGTGTTTAGATAAAAAATCTTGGTGCATCCCGGGAGGGAAATCAGGGTTAAGGCGGATAGAGGTTTAAGGGGTTGGGTGTTTCAGAGATAGACGCGGATTTACACGCCAAGCGAAAAATTTTTAAGGTGGGCCCTATCAGCGGGGGTGAGTAAGAAGGGCCAGTGACGTATGTTTCGGTAAAAGCCAAGGGATCGAGGCCAGGGGTAGGGATGAGGAGGCACTTTCAACATATATCCAATCCTTGGAGGACGTTTGAATGTGCCAATCGACTATCCGTGCGAGGTAACATGCCCAATAGTAGCGTTGAAGGTCAGGGAACCCAATACAGCCTGCAAGTTTAGAGAGGGCCAATTGGGAGTTGGCAATGCGCGGACGTTTATGGTTCCATAGGAACAACAAGCACATTCTTTTGCAAGATAATGAAGAAGGCCACATTTGCTTTATATACATTGATGTTTTATTTCCAGAACTAAATGATGGAGAACACAGTAGTATCGTTCTACACATGCTATAAAAAACATAGACAGACTCACCATATTAAAGATAGCACTTCTATTATTTTCATGTAATTAAAGGTTTATAAAAAAGGCCTCCCTGTGGTCCCAAGTTCCAATTATCACTATTATCCCTAGTTATTCTATTTGAGTACATTCCAGAACTTCTAAATTTCCAGTCTGTTCTTACTGACCAACTCAGTGGGCTGAAGTGGAGTTGAAATATGTGTGCATCAGCTGTTACGCTCAAGGAACCTTTAAATTCTTAAGAAGATCCTCTCATATTCCTAATTAGCACATGTGAACAGAAAGAATACTTGCCATAGTGCAATATCATCCCGGCAAATGTATTCATATAAAACAACCCCCCTTAAAATCCGCACATCACAATTGAGCCAAAAACATGATTCTAGTGTGTTGTTTAATCAGAGCTACAAGTTTCTGTAACTAGACCGTCTCACCAGCATCTGCCTGCACTCAAGATGGTGATAGTGCGATCAACATGATCCGGAACATGCACAGCTTACCAGACTCCTCCACTCAGAAGAAGTCATTGGACGAAACGCCGTTAGGGTGTGGCTAGGCTTGGTTGTGTGGTGGGACCGTTTTCCTGTCGCCGAAAACACGCACGCTGGATGCACAGTGTGTTCGGATATCACGTGATATGTCAGAGACTATCGCCTATCTTGACGTGCATGGGCAGGCTGGTAATTGACGCTGGTTACAGAACCTTGTTAGCATCCTGATTAAACAATGCTGCTATTTATAGATTTTTTCTCATTTGTGGATTAGTTGCGGTTTTAAGGGGGGTTGTTTTATATGAAATTAAATTTGCTGGGATGCTCTATCTGCAACGTCTATGGCGAGTATTTCTTTCTGTTATCACATGTTGCTAATTGGGATATGAGAGGATCTTCTTAAGTTGGAGTCTGTCTGTTTGGTGTGGAATGCTGGGATATTATACATGATAAATAAGATTTGGGAGTCTCTGACAATTGGCACTTACTTTAGATATTGCTAACACACATTCGAACAGGCATGACAGGAATTCTCTGGTTCAAACTTCAGCACAGCCATAGCTGCAAAGGATACACTTATTCAATTAGGATACTTTCATATAGCCTGCAGATGGTGATGTGTTTACGTATGGTATGGGCTTGTGATAAAATTAGACCCTTCTGGTCGCAGATCACTGATTTCATTTCATTGTGTCCCTTCCTTGAACTGTAATATAGGCAGAAACATGAGACTTGATCAAAGTTTTATTAAATGCTCTGCAGAGAAGCATAATTGCACATTTTTATTTATATATGTGTTCAAACACTTACATGCTTTGTTCTTCACTGCTGCCAGCTTCAGGCCTTACAGTGCTGCTTCGCCATGCTTCTGAGTAGTGGAGCATGCTGCCTGAATGCTTCATATACACAGTGCACTAGAGACTGTGCAGGTTCCAGATGGTGTCAAATACTTACAGGGAGGAAAAGTGAAAGGGGAGTTGTTCACCTCCAGGGCTGATGTTCACTTTCAGGGAGGAGAATGGAAAGGGCAGTGGCTTGCCAATGGGGCTGCTGCTCACTTGCAGGGAGGAGGAAAGAAAGAGGAGTGGCTTGCTGCTGGGGCTGCTGTTCACTAAGCGAGAGGAAGGAAAGGATAATGGCTTGCTGCCAAGGTTGCTATTTCTGTGGATTCAGGGAGACATGTCCTTAGTGTCAGCTGGGCGGGTGCACGCAAAGGTGACTCCCTTAAAGGTCTGTAGCCACATGAAAACATCAACCAGAGAAGATAGGGTTTTTTTTTAGAGATCCAAGTCAAATCAACCACAGGCCTAAAATGAAAATCCCACTGCAAAAATGGTAAACATGATGAGTACTGAGGTCTGCAGTAATATATGCTTTTTGTATATGAGGGTTTAATAACATTTTAAAGGAACTGGTCTTTATTGTAAAATTCTGCTTAATACGTACCAGCAACCATACCTCACTTCAAAGTAAAGTTGTTTTTTCCTTTATTTTATTGAACTACACTGTCATGGTCTGTGTCAGGAATGGACTTGCCAATAATGGTGGGACTCACCTGCCTTGTGGGCTGCAGTACCAGGGCTGGCCACCGGGTGCTCTCAGCAATCAGAGACTCAGGTGTTTGGCTGATTGCAGGGGTTGTATTTAAGGAATGCCCAGACTCACAGTCAGGGCCTTGGTGTGTGTTTTTCCATGGGCCCCTGTACCTTGTATCCTGTATTCCTGTTCCTGTCTGACTTGTTGCCGACCCTGCCTGATCCTGACCTCTGCTGACTTCTCCTGCTTGATCCCTGGCTTGTGACCCTGACCATTCTCTGCCCGACCCTCTGTACCGCGCTGCCCGTGAGTTACTGAACCCAGCTTGTGACCCCGACCACTCTCCCGCCTGTTCCTGGTACTCCGTTTTGCCCGTTTGCTACTGACCCGGCCTGCCTGACGACTCTTTGTATTGTATGTATTGTTATCGGTGGGTGGTTTGGTTTGTTTGCACTGTGTTTGTGTTTAGTTTTGCACTGCGTTTTGTATTGTTATAAACATAAAATATGCTCAGTGAAAATTAATAAAAGAAACCCTTCATTAGATAATAATTTGAAATTAAAGTCCAAAGTCTATATAAAAATAATAAAAATTGAAAACCGAAATGTCCAAAAATATATATATCCAATATCCCAATAAAATAAATAGTACGTGTAGTCCAAAAATTGATTTAAGTGTAAAAACTCTCCGCTGCTTGCAAAAACTTGATTACCTCAAAAAAAACAAAAAAATATACATAGTGCATTATCCTTTATAAATCAAAAATTTGCATGTGAAATCACTCCAGTAATATTCACCCAAGTGAAAAACAAGTGTATATATCAAACCACGTACACATGCAATATACAGTGCAAAACCATGCATGTGAAACACTCTACTGTGCTCAAAAAACTCATAACACAGTGTACACTTCTGTCAAGGTAAGGAGTGAATACCCTTACCAATATTCAAAACAATTTATGCTTTGATCTCAATCCACAGAAATTGCCCGATGATATAAATCCTCTTGCAGATGTCCTCAGGGTTTGCTTTGATCCTATAACACTGTATGGATCCTTCCACCCTAGCAACTCAGATATGTTTCCACCATATACGCCAGTCAGATACCAGCATGTCTTTGGAGTGTGGAAGGAAACACAAGCACAGCTTGTGCTTGTGTTTCCTCCCACACTCCAAAGACATGCTGGTATCTGACTGGCGTATATGGTGGAAACATATCTGAGTTGCTAGGGTGGAAGGATCCATACAGTGCATATCTGAGCCAAAAGGTCAGTAAAGTGTAATAGTTGGATGGGATCAGCTGGAAGCATAGGTAATGAAGAAGCCAAAGGTTGAGAACAAGTGGTAGTGAAGATGAAGACAGCAGCAGGTATGCAAGGAGCAGGATATCAGGGAGCACAATAATCTGGCAAACGAGAAGTGCAAGGACATGTCTTAAAGTGGTAGTAAAGTTAGTGAACTAAAGAAATTGGCCTCTCTGCAGGTTTTAGCCATAATGTAGTAGTAGTATGCACTGCATACTATCACATTATAACAGACTTACCGACCAACTGATCCCTCCAGCACTGCGTTCTGGCCCGCTATTTCTTCCAGGTTTTGTATTTTTGCCCACTTGATTGGCCAGGCCAGGGTGATGTCACTTCCATGCATGCTCACGGGAGTCCCATCACTACGGCACAGAGAGGGGATTGTAAATGTAATCTGAGCTGCACATGCAAAGCTCAGATCATATTGCTAACTGTCACTAACTGTCAGGCAGGAGGGGATATTTATGAAAATAGAGACCTCTAGGGTCTCTTCTGTTATAAAAAACCCTGCCTGTCAGCAAATTTTCTAATTAAGACTTTACTACCACTTTAAATAGGAAGTAAAGAGCAAAAAGAGGCAAGGAATTAACCACTTCCCATCCGGCTGCTGTATATAAATGGCCGGACAGTGGCAGTGCAGGGGCGGGTTGCCATTCATAAACAGCACCCGCCATTTTGGATTGTGCACGCTCCCTGGGGAGCGCGCGGGCACCGTGATCCGGTGCCCGCTGTGTCCTCCAGACAGAGGAACACCGATCGCTGTATGGGACCTCTCTGTGTGAGGTACCGATCATGTGATCACTGATTGGTCAATCAGTGATCACATGAATAGGTGTAAGCAAGATGTCACTTCTGACATCATTGCTTACTACTTGTGAAATCTGTGAATGATCACAGAAATCATATGGTACAAGGCTATTCACAACAGCCTTGTACCATGTGACAAGCTGTGCCCAACCACAGCTCACACAGTATTTCTCAATGGCTGCAAGAATGCAGCCAGAGAGAAGGAGAAATGATTGCTTTTACAGACTTTATGGATGTAAAAGCAATCAGTGTAAGAAAAAAAAAAAAATCTTCATCACCCCCGCACAAGTAGTACAGTGTCACATGATCGGGTCCCATACGACGATCGGTGTTCCACTGTGTCCGGAGGACACAGCGGGCACTGGATCGCGGTGCTGCGCGCTCCCAGGGAGCTCGCACAAGCAGGGGATGGGGAGGCCGTTTATAAACGACCACCCGCCCCTGCACTGCTCCTGTCCAGCCGTTTATATACAATGGCCGGACGGGAGGTGGTTAATGGTTGTCATGATGGTCACTACCTTTTTTTTTCAGGATCTGGCTGCACAATGGTTGAAATATTGCCTTCTGCTTACGAAGTATCTTCTGTTGTTAGAGAAAAAATTAAAAAGAGTTAAGGGAAGGTAGAATTTCAGGCACTTTTGATGCCCCACCATTTAGAAATTTTAAACTTTCGCCATTAGGAATTCTGCCTAAAAAAGAACAGAACACATATCGGCTTACACATCATTTATCATTCCCAAAAGGCAATTCCTTAAATGATCAAATAATCAGAAGGTTTATGCTCAGTTTCTTATGTGTCCTTTGAGATTGCAGTCTCTTTCTTGCAGTCTTTGGGACCATATTTTTTATTGGCTAAAGCAGACATATAATCATCCTTCCGCAAATTACCACTGCACCCAGATTGTTTCAATTCATTGGGTTTTCAATTTGAAGGAAAATATTATTTTGACTGATGCTTGCCAATGGGCTGCTCCTTGTCATGTTTTTATTTTGAAGCATTTTCAACTTTTCTAGAATGGGTAGTATCAGTTAAGGCAGTTGGCCCCTTTTTTACTTCAATATCTAGATGGTTTTTTTTATTTCTTGGCCCTGCTAACTCCCCTGATTATTTGAATTTATTGCAGTCTTTTTTAAAATCTGCCATAATTTTTGTGTTCTGTTGGCAAAAGTAAAAACAGTTTTTCCTACGACTTGTCTGGAATTCATAGGCATTATCATAGACACGTGATGCCATGGAATTTGTCTCCCGCCTGAAAAGATTGCAAAAATATCAGAGCTTATTTTAATTATTCTTAAAAAGAAGAAAGTCATGCTTAAAGAGATGCAAAATTTATTGGGCCTCCTGACTTTTGCCATGCGTGTATTGCCAGTCGGTCGAATATTTTCCAGAAGAATTTGCATGGCAATTGCGAGATTAAAAAGTCCTGCGGCTCATATTTAAATTATTTCTGAAATGCGTGAAGTTTATTAGTTTAAAGTCAATTTCTTCCACACTTCAATGGTAGATCAGTATGGCAAGAAAAATGTATTTTTAATTAAAATTTTAGTTTGGCTTTTCTGCCATTTGAAAAAATCATTGGTGTGCTGATCAATGGCCTGACTCCTGGGCTGTTTAAGGACTGTTAAAGATTTTAGTATTATTGGAGCTCTTCCCTCTTGTTATTCCTATAGAGATATGGGGAGATCGTTTCCACAATAAAAGACTCTTATTTAGTACCGATAATAAAGGAGTTTTATATGCTGTAAATTGTCTCTCATCCAAATCTAAACCAATTATTAATTTACTTAGATATCTTTTATATAAATGTTTAAATGTAAACATCTGAGGTAAGTATTTAAAGACTTCCCCATAGCAGATGTACTGCTACAGGGAGGCCGTGCTGTGCAAAATCACGTACATATATGTGATTTTGCAATTCCAAATAGGGGGCACGTGAGCGCCATCATAGGCTCCCAAAGATGTCAATCATCGAGTCCCGGCCAGCGATTCATGGCTGGGACTTGGTGATAGGCAGAGAGCTGACAGGGGAGAGATCTGTGTGTTAACAACAGAGATCTCTCTCCTGTCAGCAGGCACATCCCCTAGTAAAACACCACACAGTAATTATAACACAGTACACTGTTAACCGTTTGATCACCCCAGAAGTTGAACACTTCCTGCCCAGTGTCATTAATACAGTGATCAGCGCTTTTTATTAGCACTGATCATTGTATTAGTGTCACTGGAAATGTCAGTGGCAGTCAGTTCCCACCCAGTGTCAGTATCAGAATGCCTGCCGCAGTCCAGCTATAAGTTGCTGATTTCCTCCATTTTTATTAGTATAAAAAAAATAAATAAAAATTCCAATATATATACCTCAATTTGTAGATGCTATAACTTTTACGTAAACAAATTAATATACACTGATTGGGATTTTTTTTTATACAAAAGACATAATACATTTTGGCCTACATTTATGAAGAAATTTTATTTTTTACATTTTTGTATTGGATATGTTTTATATTTATTTTGAGGAAGGGTAGATGATTCATGTATCGTTTACTTCCTGGAATCCATCTGCCCTTAGCTCAGGCATAGGCTGAGCTGATATACCTCCCTCCCCTCCTGAAGGCTGCTGTGATGTATGACTAAATTTGCCTAGAAGTGGAAACGAGGAAGTAACTGAAGAAATGTAAAAATGCTAGCAGCAGAAGGATTAAAAATAGTCCATGTAGACTGAGAGAGTTAGGTTCCAGTTTAAAGTTCAAATTTGGGAACATGTTCCACACGTTTTTAGGGTGGAACATGTAACATGTTCCAATAGCCGCATCCGCCCCCCCGACATATAGTACAGGGAGAAGTCTCCCCGTACTATCGGTCAAATTTGAAAACAGCGTGGCCATGCAGGGCTCCGCCCACACGGCCACATCATTCATTTGCGGACTTCCTTAGCGGCTGTCGGCTTGTAGTTTGCAATGAACTTCCACGGCGCTGTGGAGTGCCATGCTGGTTCATTGAAGCTCTGACAGAATATCTGCTTGCTCATACATCCCATACGAAGAGCAGATATTCTGCATGGCATCAGCAATCTACTGATTGCTGGTGCAATGCTTTCCAGACTCCTGTAGACAAAAATAATAAATACACATTTTTACCTGCAAAAAAATTTGCATTTATTATTTTTGTCTAAAAGGTGAACATATCCTTTAAACTTTTATACTTAGTAGGAATGTAGCAGGAATTTTGTAATATTTTCTGTGTTTTTATCTGCTAATGATGATTTCAGTGTATTTTTAGCGACAATATTGTTTTGATAAACATTTGCGCACATTGGCCTTGAATTCTACTAGTCATGTGCTTTCAGAAAGTACATGGTTTAGGGGGTCTTTTACAAACTCTGAAAGCTGTAAGTGAAAAATGAAAACCTCCAGATTTTTAGAGAGATGTTCAATTTTCACCATTTTGCAAAAAGGCGCAATTTAAAATTGAGAATATATTTGTTATTTACTAACTCAATACAGGTCAACCGCTTCCCAACCGCCTTATAGCAGAAATACTGCTACAGAGCGGCATGGGTGTGCAAAATCATATGTTTATATACGCGATTTTGCATTTCTGGTTAGGGGGTGTGGCTGTCAATCACTGGGGTCTGACCGGTGATTATTCGCCGGCGCCTGGTAATTACTGAGGATCTTCAACGGGAAGGAGGAGGACTGTTTTATTTACTAACAGTTCTCCTCACTGTGAGCTCAGACACACTGCTTTGGATGACTGTGCACAGCACAGCCATCCAAAGCAGTGTGCTTACAGTGATGCTTACAGTGAAGCACACTGACACGGCCCCCTAGTAAAACACTCCCTGCACACAGTTAACCCTTTGATCACCACTCATGTTAACCCCCTTCCTGCCCAGTGCCATTAGTACAGTGTCAGTGCTTTTGTTTTAGCACTGATCACTGTATTGGTGTCACTGGAGATGTCAGTGACACCAAGTTAGTTCCCCGCAGTGTCAGAATGTCCACTGCAGTCCTGCAGTCCCTCTATAAGTTGCTGATTGCCGCTATTACTAGTAAAAAAAAATAAAAAACAAATTCCAGTATCTATACTGCCATTTGGAAATGATATAACTTTCATGTAAACCAAATAATTTACATGTATTGGGATTTTTTTAGCAAAGACCTGTAGCAGAATACATTTTGGCCTAAATAAAGTATGAAATTTGATTTTTTTTACATATTTTTATTGGAAATGTTTAATTGCAAAAAGTAAAAAATATAGTTTTTTTTCTCAAAATTGTCTGTCTTTTTATATAGCGCAAAAAATAAAAAAACGTATAGGTGATCAAATACCACAGAAAGAAAGCTCAATTTGTGGGAAAAAAGGACGTAAATTTCATTTGGGTGCAGAGTTGCATGACCGCCAATTGTCAGTTAAAGTAATGCAGCGCTGTAATGCAAAAAATTGCCTGGTCAAGAAGGGGGGTAAATCCTCAGGAGGGCGAGTGGTTAAGCTTTTACATTTAGTAGGAAGTTAGCAGGAATTTTGTAAAATGTGTTGTGTTTGTATCTACTAATAATGATTTTACTGAATTTTTTTGCCAAAATATAATTTTGATAAACATTTGTGCACATATCCTTAAAAATAGCCTTAAAAATTGGAAGCACCTTCTTTTTATTCTACTGGTTATATACTTTCAGAAAATACGTGGTTTAGGGGCCCTTTTGCAAACTCTGAATGCTGTAAGGGAAAAATAAAAAAGCAGTGGAAAAATTGCAAAAATGGAGTGGCCACTTGAGCTTAAAAGTGGAGCACATGGCCTGGCAGCAAAAGGGTTAAAGTAGTGGTTTCTCAGCTTTTTTTCAGTCTTCACACTCTTTAAAAGTATGAAAAGTCTCTATATACCCCAGCCAAATATGCCAAAAATGTAAATGTTACTTATCAAAGGGAAGCTTGAGCCTAGGACAATGCAGACAATTGTATTGATGAAATTATTTTCACATCAGAAGCCCCTTTCACATCAGAGGTCCCCCCAATCACATCAGAGTCCCCCCGTCATGTCAGAGGATCCCCATCACATCATAATCATCCCTTTATGTCAGAGGCTTTTCATCATATCAGAGTCCCCCTAAACATGAAAGCTTCTCATCACACCACTCATATACATCAACGGCCCCCTATTCATGAGTCCCCCACTTCACAGAACCCCTCAAGCACACAGCCCCCCCATAAGAGCTCCCAATCACACAGTCCCCTCTTCACATCAGAGTCCTACCTTTTCACTCCAGCAGCATGGATAGATCTGCAGGAGACCTGCATGGCACCAGTGATCTGCAATGCTGCAGAAAAAAATAATAAATGCACATTTTTTTACCTGCAAAAAAAATGTGTATTCATTATTTTTTTTTATCAAAAGGTGAACTTATCCTTTAACCACCTCCCGCCCGC